GAATTGCCGCGCTGCGGGGGCGCTTCCGTCAGAGATGCGAGACGCCGGGCGACCCCCGCTGCCTGCGCGCGCCCGACAGGGCGCGCTCCACTCACCGCGGGCGGAAGCGTCAGCGCTGCCGATCCGCGCCGCTCGCTGAGCCCTGCTGCCCAGCGCAGAACGGCGAGCGCCGCGCAGCGCCGCGTGCTCGCGGCCCCGAGAAGCAAGGCGTAGCTAAGCTAAGCGCTACAAGCCCGCGCCCTGCCAAAGGAACAGCGAACGCACTCGCGAAGTGCGTTCGGCGGAATCCTTGGGGCCCCGTGGATGGAAGCTTTTCCTTGGCCAGCGCCTTGCGAACCACTGAGAAAAGGGGGCAGTAAAGCTGAGGACAGAGAGGGCAGCGCCGTCGCATAGGATAGCGCTGACGCTCGGGGGATTGTCCGCCGCGGGGACTGCAAACGCCGCCCGAGCCAGTTCCTCGGACGACCCTTCGGCGACGCCTAGATCAGAGTGAGGGGACCGAGCGGTCACTCATTGTCCCTAGGTGCGTGGCTGAAGTGGGGATCAGTGGTGGGGATTATGCTTGTTGTTGTTGTTGTTGCCGTCGCCCCCCCCGCGACCCGCCCGCGACCCTCCCCGCGACCCGCCCCACGACCCACCCCGCGACCCACCCCGCGACCCATCTCGCGACCCACCCGCGACCCACCCCGCGACTCGCCCCGCGACCCACCCGCGACCCACCCGCGACCCACCCCGCGACCCATACGCGACCCACCCGCGACCTACCCCGCGACCCGCCCCGCGACCCACCCGCGACCCACCCGCGATTCGCCCCGCGACCCGCCCCGCGACCCACCCGCGACCCACCCGCGACCCATGCGCGACCCGCCCGCGACCCATCCGCGACCCGGCCCGCGATCCACCCGCGACCCACCCGCGACCCACCCCGCGATCCACCCACATTGCTTTAATGAAAAAATCGGCGCCTGCGGCCAGTTCACTGCATAATTTGTAAAAGTTAGGCGCCTGCGGCGGGACTGACGACGCCCTCGCCGCCACCTCACTCTTATCTGTAACTGCGGGGCGCTAGATATTTGGAGCGCAGGGCGACGCTGCCCCCCAGCAATCCGGGAGCGCGCTGAGCGAGAAACGATCGAACGCGGGCGAATACGCGATCATCCAGCTGCGCCGACGGCGGCGCGCGCGCAATCTTTGCCGTTTTCGGATGGAGCTTGGCCGGTAGATCAATTCGCTGAAAGGCGAGCCAGACGCGCGCGAGATCCGAAAGTCGCGGCCGGGCAAGACCCGCATCGCCTGCGCAGCCGCTCCCCGCCCCCCCCCTGCCCCATCGAAGTCCAAGGTTGGATGGGGCGCTTGCCCCGCGAGATTCCTCAAAGTGGCGCCCGCGGCCAGGACCCAGACCGCACCCGGGAGCGGGCAGCCCTGCGTCGCCCCCGGTTGGAGGTCGACCACGACCAGGCGCGACCTCTGAAAGGGCGCGCGCAGAACTTCGGGCCGACGCGCAGAGAGTCGACGAAGCGAGCGCAGCCCTGCGGAAGCCCGCTGCGGGCCAGGGCGGCCCAGAGACAATCGCACCCTCGGCTCGCAAACGCTGCTGCAATGTCAAAGGCCACGAGCACAGGGGCGTGTTCCGCGGCATCTGGCGTGCGTTCACGCGCCGCGCTGAGCTGTCTAATCTGACGAGATTGCTAGGCAATTTGCGGCCAGGCACAAACCTTGCTGGACCTCGCGGGCCCTCTGTTGGACCAGGGTTTAAGTTTTGTGATGAGACGCGGCAGCCAAACTCGTTGAGTCCGAACTGCGAAAAGAGAGCGGCCTAACTTGGGACCGCTCCCCAATGCATTCACGCGCGTCGAGTGCCTCGGAGCCCTCGGGGGTGGGCGAGGGCGCGAACACGGGGGTCGCCCAGGTCCCTGGGGCGCGGCCTCCAAAGAAAATATGAAATATGAGCCTGCGGAGAACTTTGGGTTGGACCTCGTGCGCCATCCGTGCGCGGTGTAGAAATCGATCTGGGCCGGGCGATGAACGCCGAACCTTTGTGGGGGTCTTCCGGGGGCCCTCGGGGCTGGGGATGGGGAGTGGGGCTTCTGGTGCAGCTGGGTAAACCGCGCCCGTGTTGCAATGGGGCCCCCGGTGGTCTACTTGCTGGTGCTGAAGAACCTGCTGCCAAGAGGGACGAGAGGGCCTCTATGATCTCCTGGGGGTCTCTCGTGATGGTATGTCCTGGCTCCTCCAAGGCGTGCTCGGGGCGAATTCCTGCAAGAACCATCCTGCGGCTTTTGGGCTTCCACGTGAGAGCGCGACGCCGAACCGCTCGAAATTGACCCAAGAGACCTCAAGCAACTTGTTGTTCGCCGGTGGGCAATGCTGCATGTGCCTCACGTGCGAAAGCGGAACAGCCGTCGACATGCGTCGGCATGTTTCAAGATCACTTCGAAGAGGTACCTTTTGCCATCCTCCGTAGAAAAGATGAGAACGGCCGCAAGTTGCGAATCCTGCCTCCGAGCCGCCCCTGAAACACCGCGTAGTGATGTTTCTCCCTCCTCGCACACGTTTGCCACCTGCCCCGCAAGGAAATAATTGCAGCTCGTCCCTCGTATGGGTGGCCACCTCGAGCATGCAATTTCCCATGTGCCTCCATGGTAACACTGGTAACAACCGTTTAAGGTATCATGCCGCAATGGGACCCTCAAAAACGGCCTGGTCCAGTGCACATAGAGCGACCAATGAGATATCCTGTGCGACTTCCCCTGTGTGGGGAGCCTAGTGCGCAAAAATATACGCAGAATGGAGTGGTCATTGAGCCGCGATTGTGATATCTCGATTCGATCCAACGCAATTGAACACATGATACCACAAGCCTCACCGAACTTAAACTGACACGCCGTTCAAAATCGTGGCGCTCAGTTGAGATGAAAACTGTCCAAAATCACGCGCTTCAATGAAAGCTGTGACGGTGGTGCCGGATTTCGGACACCGCTGCGTCTGGACTACATGCCCCATGCCAACATCGAACTCGCGCCAACCACACAAACACCGAAACCAAGAGCCGTCAGCTTAAGTTTGGCGAATCTTGCAATGGTACAGTCAAAACGTATATTAAGGACGCGTGGTAAGGACGCAAGGCCCTTGGAGGCCGAAGTTGGGATTTTTGTTGGGCGGCGGCGACCAGTGAAAACGGCAAAGGACGGGCCACAGAGGCTAGGACGCAAGGGCATCCTAGATGAAGGCGTGCGTCCTTACTAGGCGCGTTGACTGTAATGACAACATGTTCTGGTCCGCGGAGAAGAGAACGCTGTCGAGCGCTGACGCCCGTGTGACGCGGCCTGCTGGAGTATGTCGGGGTATCTGCACGAATGTCTTGCGCAATATCAAACAGGCATCTCCAGAGTGCCTCCGGGGGTTGATGTGTCCTCGTCGTGCGTCGAGAAGCCTGTGCAGGACGAGGGTGTACGTAGCCGAACGGCACTCTTTTTCTCGAATGTTTGAATCGTCGGTGGCCTTCAAGGTGCGAAGAAGGGAATCTTGAATGCTCCAGTCGAGATGGCGTTGCCATGTGTTCTCGATGGCACCACATCGCTCACCCTCCGGATCTTCGCCTCCGGCTCCTGTCCACGGCGTTCCTTTTCCTGTGCAAGCTCCTCGGCACCGCCTGCACCCCGGCCCGCCCTCCGGCCGCCTGAGGCCCCGCCTGCCTGTGCCCTGTCTCCCCAATTAGAGCTGTGCGTAGCCCGCCTAGCTTTTATCGGAAGAGGTTCGCTCTCGCCCCGCAGACCAAAAAGTGTTCTCGATGGCGCGCTTGTCGCCGTTAGAAAGACTGTAGTTGTTCGCGTTCATGGCAAATGGATGCGTTCTTTAACGCGCATTTGATCTTCAGCGTGGCGACCCTGCCAGGGGCCAAGGATGAGGATGAGGAGGAGGAAAGGGAGAAGGGGGAGCAGGGGCAGAAGAGGAGGAGGACAAGAGGACGAGGAAAAGGAAGAGGCAGAAGGGGGAGGGGAGGGGGAGAAGGAGGAGCAAATGGCCCATGTTTCCTCTCTCTCTCTCTCCCTCTCTCTCCCCATCTTTCCTCTGCCCCTCTTGCCCACTTCTCCTCCTTCTCCTCCTTTTCATCCTCCTTGGCCCCTGTTTGCAAAATGCGGCTATCGCTCGAGACTTCCTCGAATTCAACGACCAGAAGGCTTGACACGAGCACGAAGTGCACGGATGGAGGGCGGCGCCTTCTCAAAACGAGGCTCTTGCGTTGGACCCCTCCCGCGTTACCTGCCAAGAGCGTGGACGTGCGCGACGGTTGCACGGATGGGGGGGGCAAGCGTTGAAAAACCGGGGCCGTCGCTGGACGCATCTTTCAGGAACGGGCCCTGGGACACACAAATAAATACGCACAAATAAAAGGATTCCCCTATATTTTCCCATATTTTCTGGGTTTTCGTCTTCCCCCCCAATTCCCATATGTTCCCGTCTTTTGGGAATCGACGATTAATTGTGTCTGTGTGTTTGTTCCCCTCCTGACTTTCAGCTTTGTGACCCTACCTCTTCGCGTTCCTGTTCAACCCACGAGAAGAATGCAACGCATTGGCTTTTCAAACAGGGGCCCCCGCCTGAACAGCAGGCTCACAGGGTGCTCGTCCTTCAGGGGCGCGCTTCTGGCAGTGAAAAGCAAGGCCTGTGCTGACATGTGAAGAGGAAGCTTGCTTGGGACGGGAGGGTGTATTGCAGTATCATTGTTGACACATCCTGGGTTTACCCTGGTCCTCCTCCCACTCCTCCTTCTCTTCCGCTTCCTCCTCCCCCTCCTCCTGCGCCTCCCTCCTTCTCGCCCCTCTTCTCGTCCTCCGCCCCCCTACTCCTCCTCGTTCTCCTCCTCCTCCTCCTCCTCCTCCTCCTCCTCCTCCACCCCCCTCCACCAGTCCCCTCTCCCTTCCAGCTCCTCCTGCGTTTCCTCCCCCTCTTACCCCTCCCTGCGGCCCCTCTGCTTACACTGCCCCTCAGTGCCGCTCCTGTTCGAGTTCCGCAGGCGCCGGCTGTGCAGGTGTGGACCCAGCCTCTGCAGGTGCGGGCCCAGCTGCATCTGCGGACTCAGCTGCATGTAGGCTGGGACCTCCCCGGCAACCTCGCGGGGCTCGGCCGGGCAGCCTCCGTCGACGTCCTCCTCCTCCTCTTCCTCCTCCTCCTCCTCCTCCTCCTCCTCTTCCTCCTCTCCTCCTCCTCCTCCTCCTCCTACTCCTCCTCCTCCTCCTCCTCCTCCTCCCAGACCTCACATGCCAAGCGAACCCTCTGTTATTCTGTGAACAACGAGCGCCGACTACATAACTAAAAGCTACTAGGCTGGGGCAACGGAGGCGGAGGGAGAGGCGGAAGAGGAGACAAAGGAAAAGAGGGGAGACAGGAGAGGGGGAAAGCTTGCCCCAGCCTGTACCTTGAGCCAGGAAGAAGCTCACGGAGGAGCTTCGACCGCTCAGACGAACGCTTTGTGTTCAAACTGGGTTCCAAAAGCTTGCCAGTGGTAACTGACGCGAACCCCTACAAAGCACACATAAGATGATAGGCACATATGTTTCCACAACCCTGGTCCAATATTGCACCGACCCAGCACCCCCGCGGAGCAAATCCGAAAGGGTGGGTCTGAGGGATTGACAAGAGGTTGTGGTTCGATCTGAGACCACCCGAAGACACTGCAGGCACCGACCCCCCCCCCCTGGCGACAGACGGGCGGTGGCTGGGACCTTGGGTCCTCACCTCTTTGGGCTTCGGCGGTCTGGACACAAACCGCTCTTCACAAGTGGGCCAAGCGTATAAATTATGTAGAGCACCTGTGACCAAGCTTCGATACTCGGCCTCACCTTGCTCGACATCTTGAAGCTCAAAAGGAGACAAAGTATGAAGCCCAGCACCTAACTTAGTTAGCTCATCCGCCTTGGTTGAGCCTGCTATGTTTAAATCATCAACATCATCGGTGGCCTCACTGAAGGCTCTGTGGGCCTTGACCTTGATGAGACCAGGCCAGGGCCCACCACCTATTCTCCGACTGACTTCTCGCCAGAAAAAACTGAAATGCGACCTCCCCGAAAGAGCCCTCGCAGGCTGCTGGGCTCCAGCAAGGAGCTCCGAGTAGTCAACCCTGACAGGCTCAGTGGGGATGTCGGCGGAAGGGCGCGTTCTACACTGCTAGTGGTTCGGCCCCTTGGGTGGCTCTTGGCTTCTAGACATGTTTACTCCTTACAAAACCCACGCCGATTTGGGCCCCGCAGCGCAAGCCGCCCGAAACGCCCGCCGTCCCCGATCCCGGCCCCCGTATCAAAGAAACAGCTGTCGACGTGAACCAAAAATTGGTGCGGCCCCTTGGTGGCCCCGCGCTCCCAGCACGAGCACTAGCAAGACCTCTAACACGACCACCAGCGCGACTGCCAGCACGACGAACCACCAGCATGACCCCCGATCACGAGCACAACCACCAGCACGACCACCAACACGACCACCCGCCGACACCACCACCATGCCCAGCAACGCGACCACCCGCACAACCACCAACACGACTTCCAGCACGCACACCAACACGACCACGAACACGTCCGTCAACGCAACTACAAACTGTGACCCGTGATCTGTGCCATGCGCAAGCCAACCGTAATCCGCCGGCCCCCTTGTGGGGCCACCAGGCTGTGGGGCTAAGGTTCGCAGTTTCCTGTACCAGTTGCAGCTTCCAGTTTCCACTGTTACAGTTCTGCTTCTTGCTGCTTACTGTTCATGGTTGCAGTTCTGCTTCTTGCTGCTTACTGTTCCTTGTTGATGGACCGCGCGAGGGGGGGAGGCCCAAAACGTGCATTTTTACTACGCCCTGAGCATGTTGTCTGAATTGCTGGGGCGGGTAAAAATTCACACCCCTCACGCAGATCGGCGGGATCAGGGTCCAAAAACACGGGGGATTTGCCACATTTCTGAAATTCGGTCACACCCCTCATGCAGATCGGCGGGGTCAGGGTCCAAAACACGAAGGATTCGCCACATTTCTGAAGTTTGCTGGCACCCCTCACGCAGATCGGCGGGGTCAGGGTCCAAAAACACACGGGATTCGCCACATTTCTGACATTCGGTGGCACCCCTCATACAAATCGGCGGGGTCAGGGTGCAAAAACAGATCGGCCGGGTCAGGGTGCAAAAAAATATATGGGATTGGCAACATTTCTGACATTCGGTGGCACCCCTCACGCAGATCGGCGGGGTCAGGGTCCAAAAACACAAGGGATTTGCCACATTTCTGAAATTCGGTCGCACCCCTCATGCAGATCGGCGGGGTCAGGGTCCAAAAACACAAAGGATTTGCCACATTTCTGAAATTCGGCAGCAACCCTTACGCAGATCGGCAGGGCCAGGGTCCAAAAACACAAAGGATTTGCCACATGTTTGAAATTCGGCGGCACCCCTCACGCAGATCGGCGGGGTCAGGGTCCAAAAACACAAGGGATTTGCCACATTTCTGAAATTTGCTGGCACCCCTCACGCGGATCGGCGGGGTCAAGTTCGAAAAACAAACAGGTCCCAACACTGCTTCACGGCGGCGCCCAGACCTCATGATTTAGCTTTTGCATCTCCCATTATCCGAGACAGGGGGCTGGCGGCATGGGGCGAAGCCCTTACGGATATGCACCCCGAAGCAACAAAATACCCCCCAACAAAAAACCGGCAAGTTCACGACATGCATGAAACCATACACCACCCTAAAACCATCAAGTTCACGAGCTCACCACTGTCGTTCATATACGGTTGCGAGAGACGACATCTGCGCTCATGCGCGAAGGGTGAAGATGATGGACAATAGGTTGTGGCGAAACGAAGCCACCCAACAAAATATCGTACACTTATGCACATACAAAATGCAAGGAGTCTCTATACCTGCGCACTTATCTTATGTGTGTGCATGCTTTTTTTATATATATATATATATATATATATATATATATATATATATATGCATGCATGCATGTTGAAGGATGCCACCCTGTCGGCCTGGGTTCAAATCGGATGTGATGCGGCCAAATGGCGAGGAACTGAGAATGAACAGATGTGGACATGGGCGACCAATAAGGATGGTAACGAAAGGAGCCTGGCCGATGTAGGCGTCTGGCGGGAGCGTGAAGGTCGAGCCGTGCATTGTGAAGCTGAGCTCCGGGAGATCCTAGAAACTTCGACAGAAACCCCAGAAACCCCGCAATCAGCCGTAACACATGAACCCACTGTGCGTTCATCTTTGTGCACATGTGCTCAAACTATTATTTTTCATGCACTCCCCACATGCACGCCATGAACACATGAGGGACACGCTGCATATGCGCGCACGTACGCGCAAAACACACACACACAAATACACACACTCGCACGCGCAAACAAACATACACACAAACGATTCACACACACGCACACGAAGGCGACACCACTGTCGCGAGTGATTGCAAGGAGCGCTTACAAGCTAATTGCACACATCGTTGTGGATGAAAAACCAGATGGGGCTGGCAACGGAAGGGGGAGACACCAACGGGCCGGCGTGCAGGCCAGATCGCTCAGAGACCGCAAAAGAGCGCGTCGACCACTGCGGCGACGCGGGCTGCAACAGGCGGCGAGCGTGCCACCCAAGCGGCAAGCGCGCCAAGGCGAAAGGAGGCGCGCAAGCGGGCAGGCAGATGCAACCGGCTCCCGAGGGGGAGGGCCGGCTAGCAGAGACCTGCAATAGAGGAATAAACATCTTGATCAACCGAGGTAAACTTCCGGAGGTCCGCGCGGATTTCTTGGATCAGCGCTGGGCCCACGCAGAGCTCCGAATGTTTATGTCCACGCGGCCTTTGTTCTTCTGCGGTGCGGAGGAGGCAGCTGGGCGAGCCGAGGCTGAGTGAGCAGGTGGCAGGCTGGGGGTCCCCAAACCGTGTGGTGACAGACCGTGCTGTGACCTCGGAAGCCCCAAACGCCTCACTGCACGGTCCGTCACCGCACGGTTCTGGGACCCCGGAGGCCCGAGTCGCCCGAGACATCCTCGGAGAACGACCCAAATCCCAGGCCCGCGCGCGCAGGGACCCCGAATCCCCACCGATTTTCGCCCGAGACATCCTCGGAGAACGACCCAAATCCCAAGCCCGCGCGCGCGGGGACCCCGAATCCCCACCGACTTGCCACACCCGTGCGGTCACGGCACCGTCTGTGGGCCCCCAGGCAGGGCAAAGGGAGACCGGGGGCAGCCAGGCTGGGCGCGCCAGAGGCAGAGCCGAACTGCACGCACGGGCGCCCTGCGGGAGCAGAAGACCCAGACTTGTTCTTCGTCGCAGCGCGGCAAAGGCAACCCGCACGCGCGCTCTAGCTGGCCAGGAGCGGGCGAAAGACTTGTTGCCGCTGCAAGAGAGGAAAAGGGGGGCGGAGGGCGGCCGCAGAGCCCAGAGAAGGAAGGAGGGCACTCACTGCACGGATACCTTCTGTCGGGAGTGGCCAGTGCGGCCAGCTCGTGCTGAGCAGCCTGGCGGTGGTCGCGAAGCGGCATCACAGCCACACCCAGGGGCTGAGACAGAGGCTGCAGGTGCGGAAAGCGTCTCTCAAGCTGTGGCAGTACGGGAGGAGCGGCAAACGGACCCACAGCGGCGAGAGCGGGAGCCTCCGGGTGTTCCGGCGTGTAGGTAGCCGTAGGAGTAGGGGTCAGTCTTTGCTGAAAGGGCACGGCGCGAGCAGGAGGCGAGCGTCGCCAGAACGAGGGGGCTGGGTCCACTAGGCAGTGCAGCAGCATGGTGCCAGCCAGAGCGGCTGAGCAGCTGGGCTGCAGCAACTGCACTGCCGAGCGACTGCTGCAGGGCCGCAGAGGCTGCTGAGCTGCAGCGACTGACCAGCCAGCCGAGCTGTGGACAGGCAGCCCCTGCCCGAGACCCAGACCCCCAACGTCATGATTTTCCCCCCGAGGTCTCGACCCATTCCACGGGACTGGCTTTTCGTCCTTAGTCGTTTTTTGACGGTCCCGAGGGCCGGTAAGGGCCCCCAAAGGCCAACATTTTTTTTTTATTAAAAAAAAAAAAAAAAACTCCCGTCGTGATTTTTTCATGACTCGAAGGGGTCTGGGGACTGCGGGGGCCGCGAGGTGCCACCAGCAGCTGCACTGGGGCCGCTCCCCTGGAACTTGCCAGCCTGCCAAATGAGCCGCTGCACATTCGTTTTAAACATTTGCAATGATTTCCATGGTTTTCTAGTTCTCATGGTTGACGTACCAGAAATGGTGTCTGGGAGCGATATAGGACTGTCAGGGCGCAACTGTTATTCTGATTCGCGGTGTTGAAGTGGCGTTCTGGCGCGTTTCAGGATCGTCAGGGCGCAACAATAAGGCTGATTCGTGGCGTTGGAATCCCAAAAACGGCGCTCTGGTACGGTTCAGGTGGCCGCGAACCGGACCGAAAACCGAGAACCAATCCTCGAACCGAACCGGCCGAACCAGACCGCGACCCTCGACCCGAACCGGCCGAACGGGGCCGAACCGAACCGACGAACCGAAGCGGCCGAATCGGACGGGCCCGACGAACCGAGCCCGACGAACGGGGCGCGAGCCCAGCGGCCGACGACCACGGCGGCGGCGACGGCGACAGCGACGGCGACGACTATACAGCGACGAGCACGGTGACGAGGCGCCGAAACACCCCCCGTGGGACGCTGGGCCCCCCCCCCTCCCGGGAACGCTGGAACCCACCCCGTGGGACGCTGGACCCCCCCCCCCCCGTGCGACGCCGAACCCCCCCCCTGTGGGACCCCCGACCCCCCCCCCCGTGGGATGCTGGACCCTCCCTTCTCAGACCCCCGACGCCATGATTTTTTCATGACGTCGACCCCCCGAGGTCTCGACCCATTCCCCAGGACCGGCTTTTCGTCCTTAGTCGTTTTTTGACGGTCCCGAGGGCCGGTAAGGGCCCCAAAGGCCAAAAATAATGAAAAACCTCCCGTCGTAATTTTTTCATATCTCGAGGGGGTCTGGGCTCCTGTCTCTGTCTCTCTCTTTCTCCCTGCGGCACGGCGCCCTGGTCGCGGCGCGGCGCCACCCCGCGCGGGCGCGGCGTGGCCGGCCTCGTTTCCGTCGTTGTCGATGCCGTCGCCGTCGTCGACGCCGTCTAACCGAACTGGCCGAACCAGAAACTGTCGGCCGAACCGAGCCGGCCGAACCAGGCCGAAGCGAGCATCCGAACCAGGCCGGCAAAACTGGACTGGCCATTTTGGCTCGAAGCAAGCCGGCAGGATCGAACTGGACAGCGATGTGAACCAGACCGGGCGAACCGACCAGAAGGCGCGCCGAACCAGAGCGAACCGAACCGAACCGGGGCCATCCTGGGCGGCAGCCTGCCCGAGCGAAAGTCGCGGAGGCAACCCGCGGGAACCCGAAGGAGACCCGCAGAGTAGCGCCGCCTCGGTGGCCCTCCGAAGGCTCCGGGGCCTGCCAAGCGCGCCGGCCCTGAGAGTTAAAACACGCACACACACACACACGAATACAAGCGTAAGTACGCGCGCGACACAAAGCACACAATATCATCCGCTCTAATCAGCACGTGCACGGAGAACCCACCACTCGCGCATCCCTTCACCTTCAAACACACACGCACGCACACACTTCTTTTCAGATGAAGACGCACGGAACCAGCCCCACGCCTCGAGATCCTGCGACGTTCGTGACGTGAGATACTGCAACGGCGGGCAGCCCGACATTACATGCCCAAAAACGCGCCACGCAACGCACTACACACGTTTGAAAGAAAAACGGGTACACCACTTTGGCATCAAGACGAATCTTAGTCGATACCCCCGCGTCCACGGCATCACTTGCGACAGCACACCCGCGTACTGAAACAACGAAAAGGCTTTGTCGCACCCCGTTGCACGCGACAGGGGTCAAAATTGAAGCCAACGGCGTGGATGAGCAGCAAGACGCTTCAAACCGCTGATCTGCCAAAATGGCGCAAACATTTCCTGTCAACGGCAACGCCGATCACGCACTCGCCTACACACGCACACACATACACACACTTTTTTGACGTCGCATCCCCGCGAGCGGCGACGAGGCATAGAAAGTCGAGTTCAGGTAGGGGGGCGCGCACGCCTACACCCGGCCGAGCTCTCAGAGACCGCTTAGGGCCTCGCAGCCAGCAGCAGCCATAACCATCCAAAGCTGGATGGCAGGGGAGGGGCGATGAATAGACGAAACTACGGTGGAGGGTAGAAGGTGACATAAGCCAACCAGGACTGAAGGCGGGGAGACACATGCACACATGATTGCACACATGCACGCACTCACGCACCCAACCGCACCGCCCACGACGCACGCATGCAGAGCACACCCACGAGGCCAAGAGGTGCATGCCCACCACACGCTGCACAGCACGCACATGCGCACATGCGCGCACACATCTTGATGTCTCTGGCCCGTTGCGAGTACATCCAGGCGGCACAGTGCAGGATCAACCGGCACCGGATCCGGGAAGACGGATCGGATCGGA